CAACTTCTCTCTTTATACTTTAAACAAACTTAAAATATTGCTTGGCCACTGCCATAACCAGTGACAGTCACACTAGCCCCAAGGAGTGATAGCAGATAACTGCAGTCCCTGCTATAAAAACACCAGCTGACACAGTCAACTAATGTCATGGCACAGCTTTTTATGATCCAACAGGCTGCATAGAAAATGCATGGAAGAAACACTATTTTGCATCTTATGCACTTTTCAGATATGCACATATGTGATGATGTTTTGGTGTAAGAACAACCAGGGGTCCAGGTGCTCATCCAGGGACACAGTGCAACTTGCTCTCAAAAGTAAAAAAACAAATCCTGGGTAATGCTCACTGCCACCTGGGGGTGAATTCTGGCAAAATTTAACAGAAGAAACTACTAATATGGCAGTGATGGTTTTGCTGGGATTGAGGATACCTCTGTATTGATGACTGTAGTAATAAATATCTCACAGTGTATTTTGTCTTTGTTGTTAAAAACACTACTGTGCTGCATTTGTAGTAGTGAACTTGTGGAAAATTAGATATAAAAGTAGTTACAATAAAATATAAAAACATGTAACAGAAAACTTGAGAAGCCTTTTACACCCACCAATCTATTTCATACCATGTTCCTGAAAAACAAATCTTTTATAAATTTCATTTTACTGCTGAAATAGTGACACTGTAAACTAATGTGAATCCTGATTTATTAAGTTTGTTTACCTCATACCACCGTCTCATCCTTTACTCCTTTGCTTTACTGCGACATGCTGACTTGTTTTTGTGTGCTTCACAGCTCCATTTTCTTTTATCTTAATTTTTTACTTTCTTGCACACTACTGTCATTTCATCTTCATTCTCTTCCTCTTTCTTTGGCTGCTTCAGATGCGGCATTTGTTTTAACTTCTGGAACTTCCTGAGCTCAGCACAGAACAACACCTAAAACACAAAGAGACTATGGATACAGCAGAAAGAGACATGATAGAAACTGACACTGAAGGTTAAAGTGACACTCACTGCCTGTGCCCAACCAGCATAAGGACCCCACAATTTTCTGAAAAAATCACCTGTGTAGAAATGTAACATTAGGCACAGTGCTAATAATTATGGAGAACATTTATTTAGTGTTTACAGTCTCTTGACTCTGATAAGATGCATGAGTACTAACCAAGTTCCCGGTGAATTTTATCTGTGATGCTTTTTTGTCTGTTGACCGTAGCATATTTGTAGTCACGCTTAGCAATCTGCCACACGTGTGTGTCAATGGGCACGGCCTCTGCCTTATCCAAGGACATCAGACATACACAATCTGCCACCTACAGGAGCACAAAAATCCATTAATACATGCTACTACAAGTTTATGTAATCTTAGAAATCTATATGAGGTTGCTGTACCTTGGTACCCACACCAGGGAGAGTACGCAGAGCATTATGGGCCTGCAGATATGGCACACTGCGTAGACCCTCCAGCCACTGAGGCCCATGGGTGTTCAGAATCTTCTGTGCGCTCTGGTGCAGGAACCGAGCCCTGTATCCAAAACCAAGATCCCTGAGACGTTCTTCTACACTGCTATCTGACAATTACAATAAAGATAACATGAAAGAAAGTCACTTCAGGCTTTTCCTGTTTAGGGGTTGCCACAGCAAATTATCACACTGACAACTCGCATGTTGACACCATATTTTATACCAGATACCCTTCCTGGTGCAACCTGGATTCGAACCTGGGGCACAGCAGCAAGAGCTCTGCGCCTTAACCACTAGCCTACCAGGGATGGCTACAATAAAGATAACATATAATGATGAAATTACAGTATATGTAAGCCTTTAATACTTTAAAATGTGGTACTTGTATGCAATTTTTTAATGACTAGCCCTTCAAATGGTTAATCAAATGTGGCTACTTCACTTGTACTTTAATATAACAAAGGTCTGGGTAGATCAGCATTATACTGCTGCCACCATGATGAAAATGTGGTATATTTTCCTCAGTTTATTATTACAGGAATCTTTTCTTGTATTATCAGGATCTTTTTGACATTACAACAAAGTAGTTTTCATGATATTATGACACATTTTCTTATTATTACAAGATAATTTAAAAGATGTTAAGAAAACGCTGGAGGAACTATGTTTCTCGGCCCGCCCTGGGAACGCCTCGGCAT